CACCCCTCGGGCCTTTCAACCCACATTCCATCACCAAAACTATAAAAAGGGGAGACAACTGCACTTCCACGATTCCACCTCTTGGGTCCCCTTCTTCCTCCGGGAGAAGTCTTTTCTGCTGTCCTTTAATAAACTTCTAATTTCTACTCTGACCTTGCCTCAGCGTGCTTCTTTGGTGTTATTCTTCAACATCAGGTAAGCAAGGACTCATCATCGGTCAACAGTGGTAACAGGAGTGCAAATTGGTGCAACTACTTTGGATAGTAGTATGGAGATTCCTCAGAAAACTTGGAATGGAACCACCATTTGACCAGTTATCTTACTCCTCAGTTTATACCCAAAGGCCTTAAAATCAGCATACTACAGTTATGTGGCCACATCAATGTTCAAAGCAGCCCAATTCAATAGCTAAGCTATGGAACCAGCCTAGATGCCCTTCTTAGATGAATGCATATGTACACACTGGAATATTATTCAGCCGTAAAGAAAAATTAAATTATACATTTGCCAGTAAATGGTTGGAACTGGAGACTATGGTGCTAAGTGAAATAAGCCAATTCCAAAAAAACAAAGGCCAAATGTTCTGATATGTGGATGCTGACTCACAATAGACTGTGGGGGTGGGGTGGAGGTTCACCAGATTGGATAGGAGGGAGTGAGGGTAAGGGAGGGGGATTGGAATAGGAAAGACATAATGAATTGAACATAACTTTCCTATATTCATATATGAATACACACCAATGTAACTTCACATCATGTACAACCACAAGAATAGGAAGTTATACTCGAAGTATGTATGTAAAAATACACTGCCAAGTATAACTAAAAAGAATTAAAAAAATATTTACCATTAAAAAAGATCAAGTGAGAAGTGKTCAAAACCAGTTGATAGAAATACCATCCAGGACAGAGGCACTCGCCACACTGGATTCATACTCTGGAGAAGTAACTCATTATGGAATCACTTGCACCTGTCTTCTCTTATGCTTTGATAGTGTTTTAGAAAACAATTATGCATGTGGCTTGTGTTTTATTTAGACATTAGACATTGTTAGACATTGTTGAACTTGAACATTGATTTGAGCAGAAATTACAACCACCATCACATGCTGGGCTATGGTCCAGGTTGAGACCTACTGAGAGTGCACATGGGGTAGCAGGCAACCGTAAACTAACACAGATGCTTGGATCTGACCCTCTCACAAAATAAAGATGATGCTGTGACCCTTCAGAAAAGCCCAGGACAGAACATGAAKGAAGCCTTAGCAAACAGGAGATTTCCGCTAACAGGAGGAGGCATTYTTGGACCATGGTTTCCGCATGCTTAGCTAAAGCAAATTTAATCCCGGCTTTGGTATCTATAATTTACTCCATCTGATTTTCTGTTGTTTTTACTGAAACCCTTTTAAAGCACAGGAGTCATTTCCAGTAAACAATTTTCCAAGAGATCCAGTGTCTGGCTATGGCAAATGACTGTAATAATAGAGTCCAGGGCACGGGCATCCACAATGCCAGATGGCCTGGACTTCAAGCCTGTGCTCTGGAATTGATCACTCAGGTGAGCAGACTGAGGGACCTTCTCCCACAGTTCACAAGGCAAGACCAGCCCTGTGTTCCTCACACTTCCATCAGCATGCCTCCCTCAGTATTGCATCTGTGTACACAGGGTCCACCTCTTCTTGAGCTACTGTGTAGAGTCCAGCTGTTTAGATACGGGCATTTACCCATCTGACACATGGGAGCAACGTATTGGGCAATTCTGTGAAAGAGTTTGAAAAGGGAGTCAGARCTGACCCAGTCCCACGCAGCATACAGCCTAGGGAGCACACAGGCACCAGGGCAATGCTGAGGGAACTCAGGGAAGGGAGGCGGTACTTGCAGGCAGCCACTGGAGAAGGTGACTAGTGTAGGGCACAAGAGGCCAGCCTGAGTTAACATTGTAGATTTTAGTCTACAGTTGATACTGGGAGTCCCCGGGGAGATGCTCAGATTACAGAAAAAGAGAAGCAATCAAGAGCAACTCACAGGAGAAACAACAGATGCAGGGCAGAGGAAGTGATTCAAGGGAAATGAGGAAATGCCCAAGAAGGCTAGCAAACGGCTTTGTACAGAAAGGGGAGTCTTGTCTCTACTCGTAGGCTGAGGATGGTTCTAGTGTGGAAACAGATGCAAAGTGGCAAGAGGGCATTTCAGATATGTGGATTCATGGTACTGGGCAGGAGGAGCTCATGGGCTATCAGCACAGGGAGCTCCTTAGAGAGGAGGGGAAGACGGGCATCCCCATTGCCAATGACTCTTCCTGGAAAAAGTCTCGAGCAGATACAGAGTGATTCAGCCCCATGTGGCAATTCAATATGATAAGCACCGATCTGAGTTGAGGGCGAGGGGCCTTCAGATGAGATAAATCACATAATCAGAATGGTCTGATAACTRGAAACCAAAGCAGAGATTCAGGGAACAATCAGCTATGTTGTCAGCATTTCCCTTCATGTGCCATTAATCTACTGCTCCAAATGGCAGGAGGAGCCTTTGTGTACTCAGATTCTGATAATCAGCAACTGTGAAGAACCGTAGCTTTGTAAAGAGCTGTCAGTGCCTATGTCTGCCCAGAAGACCTACATTTTGTATCTATTTTTCAAACTATTTTCACAGCAACAAGTAACAAATGTATCAAGACTTTTGCATTAAACTTTTACTGTTAATATTTGCTTGCATATTTAAGGCATTACTCCTAAGTACYACTATGGGATGATACTTAATAAATTTGAGTTTCTAATGAGAAATAGAAACTTTATATTTAAAAAGTAGAAATGACTTYATTTCTAGGATTCTGTAATTAATACCTCTAAAAAATAGTTTGGTAATTAAAATTAAAACTCCCCTAGGTCTGCAATTGTTCTCAGTAGATATTATCAATCACTTGTTTTCAGGTAGGAAATATTGCAAAAAGGGCTGCTAAAATATTTACATAGAATGTATAGGTAAGATCATATTAAAAGCATCCTTAAATGGAGAGCATCAGACAAACAAAAGGAATTCCCAAAAGATTCAGGGAAAGAATTAAGTTGGGAATATTATAAAGCAGCAAGAGGTTTCTTAATAATACCCCTAAAGCTCAAGGGGAAAAAAAAGAATCTCAGTCCAATTAGAAGGGCAATCATTAAGAATACAAGCAACAGCCAGGGACAGCGGCACACATCTGTAATCCCAGAACTTGGGATTACACCAAGTTCAAGGCCACCCTGGCAACATGGTAAGACCCTATTTCAAAATAAAAAATAAAAAAATAAAAAGGACTGGAGATATAGTGGTAGAGTGCTCCTGGGTTTAATCCCAGTACTGGGGCAGGCAGGGTAAGAAAGGAAAGAATACTAATAAATCGTAATTACTGGTGAGGAAGGAGGGAGAAAGACATCCATACACTGTTGGTGGACGGCAAATTAGCACATCCACTCTGGAAAGCAATATGGAGATTCCTCAAAAGACTAGGTATGGAACCACCCTATGGCCCAGCCATCCGACTCCTTGGTATTCATCCCAAATAACCAAACTCAACATATTATAGAGATACAGATATAACCATGTTTATAGCAGCACAATTCACAATAGCTCAGTTTTGGTATCAGCCTAGGAGCCCATTAACAGACAAACAGATAAAGAAAATGTGGTGTATGAAGACAATGGAGTTTCACTTAGCCACAAAGCAACAACATGGCCTGTGCTGGTAAATGGGTGAAACTGCAAAACTTCTGCTAAATGAAATAAGTCAAACTCAGAAAGTCAAGGGTTGAATGTTCTCTTCTATGTGGAAGCCAGGCAAAAGTAAGGAATACAAGGTGGGATTTCATGGAGGTAGAAGGGAGAACAGGGGAATAGAGGAAGGGGCTGGTGGAAGGTAAAACAAACTGCAGAATGAAATTGATCAAGTCATGTTCCACACACGTGTGAATACATCACAATGAATTCCACTTTTACGTACACCTATGATACACCGATTAAAAAAAAAAAATAGAAGACCAGTAGAGGGAGGGGAGAAGGGGAGATACTGGGGATTGAACTGCAGCAAATTATGTCATGTGCATTCATGAATGTGTCAAAATGAGCCCACTATTGTGTATAATGGTAACACACTAATAATAAATTTAAAAAAAAACCACACACACACACACAGAAGCAAGAGTGCTTCCCAGGCCCGGGGAACCAGTTTAGATCCAACAAGAAGAGCCATCAGGAAACGCGAGTTCGGTGTGCCTCACCCGACAGTTGAGCAGCGTGTACAGCACGTGGTCTGGGGTGGTCTGGGCTCTCCACTGCAAGACCTCCGAGAGGAACAGGAACTGCAACARGAAACGCATTGGTGCCGGGTCAGGCCACTGAGATCTGCGCTGGGCAATCTCCAAATTAAGTGGAAGTAAATGTGCGAATGCTTTCTAGTGCCTTCAAATAGTGCGTTTCCCCATGGAGACTGTTAGGAAAATCTGACATATAACCAAAGGACAAGCAAGTGCTTACTATGCTTTCCGGCAGTGATTTAGAATTCGCYGCTCCTGACTGGGACTGACAGCTCAAGGGCTGGGGTGGTGTCCTTGGTTGGGGAAGCTCTTGGGGGGGTCTGTGCAAGGATGGGAACTTTCAGTGGCATTGGCAGCGGTAGAGCAAGACCTTTCTCCTGGGGCTGCCAGAGGGTGCAGTGCTGATTTCTATGGGTTACGATGAGAAAAATCAGACCTATCCTATTAAAAAGGGTGGGTAGGTCTATRGTGTGTTCAGAATGGCAGTTCCCTAGTGTCATGAAACTGCACTGCAAACTCAAACTACATGCTCCAAACTACTAAGTCTGCAGTAAAAAGGGTGGCCCAATTTCAGGCTGGGATAACTCTAATCCCTTTTAATAATAGAAACATACCATGTGGATGGGGCATGATGATCAAGTGTTTCATTCCTCCTCCCCCCMAAAAAAACGTTGAGGATGGACCTTTCTTTATTCATATGTGGTGCTGAGAATTGAACCCAGTGCCTTACACATGCCAGGCAAGTGTTCCACCACTGAGCCACAACCTCAGCCCAATCAAACGCCATTAGCCAATTTTTAAAAATGCCATATCCCCTAGTGAATAGATTTTTCCTTATAAAAGTTCATGGAGGGGCTGGGGATGTGGCTCAAGCGGTAGCGCGCTCGCCTGGAGTGCGTGTGGCCTGGGTTCGATCCTCAGCACCACATACCAACAAAGATGTTGTGTCCGCCGAGAACTAAAAAAAATATTAAAAAAAAATTCTCTCTCTCCTCTCTCTCTCTCTTTAAAAAAAAAAAAAAAAAAGTTCATGGACATGTCTTGCAAGACAGGGGAAGTAGGAGAAGACCATCCCAGATGCCAAGGGAGTAGACATGGACCTGGCACGGGGCAGCTGCAGGGACAGTTGCAGGGACAGTTGCCTCTCACACTGTATAAGGAACACAAGAGAGGTGTGGGCCTCGGCTCTTACCTTCCGGGCCTGGTCGTTGTCTTCTATCTGACCCAGGTCTCTGCCACTGGCTTGGGCGATCCTCTTCCCAGACACGAGGTTTCCCACCATCACAGAGGCGGGGCCAATTTCTGGAAAGAGACAGAGCCTTGAGACAAAGATCAAATTTCCCTAAAACAGGACTTCCCCTTTTGGTAAAGAATCTACTCTAGGAGAAGCCTTCCAAAGGCCTGACTGTGAATACATCTTAGGACAGGTTTCAAAGAGATCAGTACAATGACAATGATGGGAAATGCAAACAAGCTTTGATTAGGGATGGCACAGAAATGACATATGTTGACAGTGGCAATTACAAAAATTGATATATAGAGTGGGGCTGTGGCTCAGTGGAGTGTTTGCCTGGCATGCTGAGACCCTAGGTTTGATGCYCAGACTATGCCAAAATACATACCCACATACAAATAGCAGAGAATCACAGTTTTTAAATTCCATAAGTAGTTAAAGACTTCCAGATCATGTCTACACTTATTTTCTGGTGTCACTACACATCATGAGGGTTGACCAGAAGCAAAATATTATGTTTTAAATAAATACTTTGTGAATTTGAGAGTAATCCTGTTGAGGAGGTGGGATATGGAAGCTCGTATCTGTATATTCTATTGGGGGTAAGGTTTCAGGGTCTCTCTTAGTCCTTTTGTGAGCTATGAATGAAGAGACTGCTGTTGGTGACTGCATTACTGGTGCCCTCTTCCTGATTTACGAGAAGTTTGCAGGAGCCTGGATGACGGATGCTGCCTCATCGAGGACTGTCCTTAACTACTTACGGAATTTAAAAACTGTGATTCTCTGCTATCTGTGTGTGGGCATAATTCAGAGAATTCATCTCTGAATTCTCCCATGTGGTAGTTGTGGGCAGACTACATGTCTTTTCTTAGTTCTTATTAAAGTAACTGTGAAAAATGAGTAGTCTTCATGTTTAACCAAACAAAAAGTCTGGTACAGTGCTGCTCGCTGGAATGGGGTGGAGCTACCACTGGGCCAGAAGCCCAGGAGCCAAAGGCTCCTGCAGGCGATCCAGCACCCTGGAGCCTGCAGCCCTCAGCCTCTCACTCTCCATCGTTAGTACAGCCCTTACTCTTGACAACCAAAGGCTGAGCAAGATGATTCCTCTAAGAAGCCAGCTTGCAAATGGGCTAAATTGGTTTAAAGTCTTCTCCTTATATATGTATACTTTAAGAATTCAAACTAGAAAGAGAAACCCGTTTTGAGGGACCTAGGGCTTTCATGGCACCTCACTCTGTGCTTCTCCGTTACTGAGTGAAGCACACTCACCAAGGTTTACTTCTGCTTGTACTCTCTGAGGGTGAAGTCTGGGACCTTAGGGATCTCTTTCCCCACAGACTTAGGAATTCCTTTCCCCAATTACTGCTGCGTCTGATTTAGAAATTTTTTTTTTAGCAAGAACAGATGAATTCTCCCCAGGTAAGTGAGGGGGTAATACATGGAACACTCCTACAGTGACTAAGCCACACCAGTTGAAAACACAAAGTTGAGATGCTACTCCCCACAACGTGTGCATGGAAGGTCCAAGTTGATTCCTGCCCTATTCAGAGTTTCAGAATCCACCTTTAGTCTCTAGTGTTGAATTCCTACCATACAACCCCTGACAAATTCATGCAGGGGCCAAGGCAGACGTTTCATCTTGAAGCAACAAGACACAGGGTCCTGAACAGAGTCCAAGCCTTTGGTGCTGGCAACTCTGGGCACCTGCTCAGACAGTGTCCTCTAGCTATATCTGGAAGGACCTCCCCAGGGAATGCAGCTGCAGAATTGTCCGATTYTGATGTCTTACGACATGGTTACTGGCTCAGGATGGATTAAAGGTTTCTAACGCTTTTTTGCTCAGTTTCATAATTACAAACACTATTCTTACCCGAGTAAGAATTCATCCAGTAGAAAGGCAACTGGTCTACAAACTTAGGTCTACAAACCTAAGTTTTAGGAGCTTCATTCCAAGAATCAACAGACCCCTTACACAGTTGTTTCAAATGTTTACTCCAGAGAGCCTCAGAAATCATCTAGCCCAACTCTCTCCCTTGCATGTAATGGAGAAGGAGACCTTGGGATAATGTGAGAATCAAGTCAGATGATAGATAATGTGTTCCCAAACTGCAGAGCACTAGGCAGCTTTGTATGTGACAACATCACAAGGAACAGTGCACATGTTTCAGATTGTTTCCCCAGGTGTTATATGCTTGGATCCCTCAGTCACAGAAACACATAAGGCTATATTATTATTATTCTACCAATAAGGAGATATTACAGCAGAATCCTAAGGGGGTCTGTGCCTCGCCAAAGGCCACCCTGCTGGTGGCGCTGCAAAACCTCATTTGCATCAAGTGCTGATGTCCCCTGCAAAGGCCAAGGCACCTCTTCCCCTCACACTCTGTCCACAGGTCCCAAAGGTGGTTATGCCCCAGGAGTGTGTAGCCATGTGAAGGGCAGGAAGGCAGGGGCTCTCCTGAGCTTGATGCTGCAAGGCATACCTGGTTGCTTCTGTCGAGGTTTAGGCAAGTTTGTGACACAAGTGTGGGGGCACATAAGGACGTTGCAGGGGTGAAGGGAGCCCTCCAGGAAGAGCTGCTTCGTTTCTGACAAATGGATTCCACCCAGTGGGGTTTTGGGAAGGGTATTTGCTGGCACCAAAGCTAGGCAGTAAACTCCAACTTGATGTATACTGTCGATTGCCTAGAAAATTTAAGAAGCAATCATATTATAATAGTAAATAGAAACAAACATTTCGTAATTGGCATTACTTATTTAGTAAACATTTATGCACCTGAAATACTGTAACATGCAAAAGTATGTACAGTGGGAACCCTGTTCTATGGGTGTACAATCGCCAGCACAGGAGACACTGCTGAACTCCCTGAGCTGGAATGATTTTACACAGGACACAAATAAGAAAGAAGGAATCTGGAGAAAAGGATATCCTCAACAAAAAATCCCAACCCAAGACGGACACGTGACCTCCCAACATGAACGGTTGGAAACAGCCTTAGAAAACCTGACCCCTCCCCCTTGAGCAGGGCTTTTTGATCAAGAGGGCGTGCTGTGGGGCCTAGCCCTGATTGGTGAGGGGCAGCCCTAACCCTAACAGCGAGTCAGGGAAGCTGAAACTTGGGACAGAGTAGAGAGCTTCAGGGCAAGGCACACGACCTGGAGCACCCTGCTCATCCACTGGAAGCTGTCCTCCTCCGTGGAGTCCGGCCTCTGCTCCGCTACAATCACTATCCTTTCATCGTGAAGGACGGTCACAGAGAACACAGCTATCCTGTGGGGACAGAGGAGCACACGTGATGAGCACAGGCAGCAACACTCCCAAGACCTCCTGCTGTAGTAAGGCATGTACAAGTGCAGCTAATCAAGCAGCCCGGCAGCTCCTGGGGCCCCTCCAGAGGCAAACCAAGTCCAGCTCCCTCACGGGCACTAACCAATGCAAGTCCAGCTGTGGAGGCTGAGAGCCTGGGGGCCCTGCAGGTGAACCACCCACATTGCCCCTGGCTGCAGGTGTTGGGGACAAGGCTGTTCTTTCCGTGTGGACAAGAGGAGTCAGTGCAGGATTGCTGCAATTGCTGCAGAGACCCGTACCATGCCTGCCTTGAGTTTGCACCCAAGTTTTCTGTTTGGAACTGACTGCTTCCTGATAAATCCGTCTGCCTCACAGGGTCAGTACAGAATTGTGACCACTCCAAATCTCTAGGAAACCTCTCTCACAAATAGGTTCTAGTTTTAAAGATAATCCCAAGGTGGTGAGGCTGGGCCAAGTATCTCCTTTCTCCTAGTCCTATCAGCTTGCCAAAATGAAGTAAGATTCCAAGGAATTTCTGAGTTCCCTCAAATTAGCAAGCAAACAAACAAACAAACAAACAAAAAAACCCCAAACCAAAAAACCCTAGGGAGCTACAGAATTTACTAAGCCTCTTGGACGTGTCCAGCAAGGGAGGGAGGGAAGTAGGAGACCTGAGTAGCTCATGAGTGTCCACTTTTTTAAAATATACCTTATTTTTATGTGGTGCTGAGGATTGAACCCATGGCCTCACATGTGCAAGGCAAGTGCTCTACCATTGAGCCACAGCCCCAGCACAGAGTGTCCACTCTTCCATGATAAGGATGACCATGATCTTTAGGTCTCTGGGGCCTGCTCCAGGATGAACTTTGAGCCCTGCATTTTGTGTAGTTAATCTATTAAAAGTCTTCCCAATGGATACTTTTACTTAGTTTAGAGGTTAACAAAAATATACTTACAGGGCTCAGGAAACTTATACAAAATCGTGGACATCCCAAACTAGGGGAAATCTCAGCACCAAGTCCAGCTGTGATTTTACAGAAGAGGAAACGGGATTCAAAATAAGGGATGTATGTGACTTACAAACCCTTCACAACTGTGTGCAAAGTGCGGTCTACAGAAATAAGCAGATGAGGGCAACCGACCTTCCTCTGTAGACAAACTTCATGGGCTCCACGGCCAAGGCTGTCGCCACGATGTCATCGGCATTGTGCCTGCGCCCACTGACCACCATCAGGCCATCCATCTTCCCCACCACAAAGACGAGCCCTCCAGGACCAACGAAGCCCAGCAGGCCCGTCCGTATGAACGGGTACTCACTGATGGGCGCGCCCGAGCTCATCATGGGGAACACCTGGGGAAACACAGGCTCCAATCAGCCCACCTCTCCTTGAAGTGACAACCTGCTGTCCATCTCCAACCCGCAACCTGCGCAGAGGTCAGAGTAGCAGATGTCAGCAGTCTTCAAACACGCACACACACTTCTCTCATCCTCTGGGCCACGTGCAGGGCCTCAAGCCAGCTCCACTCACAGGCTCCAAGTCTCAGAAGAGGTCACAGCCAGAAATTACACAACGCTAACAGATGCCAGCTAGTTCTTGTTTAGACCACTATAGCACAATAGTGATAAGTGGGAATCAAGGTGCAACCCAAGTTAGTGAGAAAGTGACGGATCTTGTTCATTAAGATGTTAGTTTTCCTTGTTAGAACCATGCAGAGAATATAAATAAAGCAAAAAAATGAGCTTAACTCTACATCTCTTTTCCTTCCACCCTATAGATAAGCCACATATGAAAGGAGAGGGAGTTTTTATTTGGACTCTACCYAGCTCCAGTTATGTCCAAAGTTCTAGATGTTTAAGAATGTGTTCCCACCCAAGTGGTTTCTGCTTTCCTGCACATAACTTCACACCTTGCACTACTCCTACCATGGGGCATCTGCCCTCTAACGTCTGCAAACACGCGCAAATCCCCGCCATGGTACACAGGTCCATACCCCAAGGTGCACATGTCCACACCCCACATTCTCCCACCACACAGTGCACATGTCCACACACCCCACACACAGTGCACATGTCCATACATACACCCCCAACACAGTGTACATGTCCACACACCCCCCCACCACAGTGCACGTGTCCATACACATCCCCCACACAGTGCACGTTTCCACACACACACACCCCTTCCCCACACATACAGTTTGTGACACCCAAATCAGACCCATTTGCTCAAGTTCACAAATTCACACCAGCCAAGAGGAGCAGAGACTGARAGGCTGTGTGGGATGGTCAGCTGGCCATCTCAGGTGAGGCCACTCATGCCCAAGCTCTTCTATCATCCACTCGTCAGTGGGCATGTTTGTATTTTAGGTGTGGGTGAAAATAGTGACAAAGGGTCATTTTTAAGAGATGGTGCTTATTCTTTTTTGAAAAATGACTGAGATCAAAATAATACTGATAAGCCAAATTCATCAAAAATAATAAAATGGTTAAAAGACAATGCAACTATGTTTAGTACCTTTTTTCAAAAGTTTACTGTCTCACATTTCTTTTCTGTTTCTACGCCCCTGACAATGGCTATCTGAAGAGGGACCCACAAACAGGTGTCATGACAGAGGACTTTCCATCAGCCTACCTCAAAGGTGTTCTTGGTCATGCCAGAGAGGCCATAATACGAAGTGCCTGTTGCCACTGCGCACACGCACAGCTCCCCGATTTCATCTGTTCTGCACAGCTGAGGAATCCCATCTGGCTTCACTGAACACATGATGGCTGAGAGCAAATGGAAAACATGGAGGGTCAGAGCCGGGGGGATGAATGCAGGAGTCCAGACAAGGACACAAACAAACAGAGAATGAAACACCAGGTACTCATCTTCTGCAAAGAATCATGATGTTTCAGGTCACTGTGGTGACATCAATCATTGCAATTGCTTTAATTGTAACGTGTGAATTGTGTTCAGTTTAGATGTGAGGGTGGAGCTCAAGATGAGCGCTGGGGAACTCGGCTACACACACCAGCAGTGGAATGGGTGCCACTTGCAAAACATAACTCGGACTCTGCAACCTACTTGCAGATGCCCAAGGCATCTGTAAGTGCAAAGTAGAATTTAAGCCTCTAACCTCCTGTGGAAATTGTAACCTTGATTTCACATTCCCTATCCAGGTGAATCCTCTGGAGACCCTCACCGGAGGGCCCCAGCTGTTTTTAACGATGCTTTCCTCACTCTCCTGTAGCACACACATTCTGACCTGAGCCCATCAGCACCTGCCCCACCATTGCCACAGATCACAAGTCTGACCAGGGCGCCAAGAATCTGGCCTTTCAGAAAAGGTGTGTGTAGCAAGAGACAGTGGGCTGCTTAGAGGCTGGACTCCCAGGAAGCCCCAAGTTGGGGTTACGGCATCAGAACCAGGGGAACCATGGAAAGTTAAAACTCACAGGAAGGGAAATTCTCATTAAAGCTACGTTGAGGGCTGGGGCTCAGAGAGAGAGCTCTTGCCTATTATGTGTGAGGCACTGGGTTCAATCCTCAGCACCACACAAAAAGATAAAGGCACACTGTCCACCTACAATTAAAAAAAAAAAGGCTACATTGAAGTCTTCTTCACTCATCAGCTCGGTAAAGATAAAGTGAGGGTACACTGGGAAAGGGAGTAGAGAAGAGGTCCTGATACTTTCCACTGGCAGGATGACAAGCCCTCAGTCTTTCTGAAGGACAAATAATAGTATTAAATTACGGGGCAGGCTCTTTGAAAAAACCTCACTTCCAGAAAGTCTCCTTTAACTGCTCCCCATACCCCCCACAAGTGGAAGCTCAGATGGGGTGTGAAACTCCCCCAAAGTGGGGGCCATAAATTGATTATTGTGTTTTCAGACAATTTAACACCATGCTGCCTGAAAAAGGACAAGCTCTTTGAACTTCAAGGCACAGAACATGAAGATGTGTACAGGACATCATCATTACACACGGAAAGCCACAGCCCCGAGACAGACCACACGCAAATGTATGCCCATCCGTTCATTTCTGTAGTCCTGGAGTCTTTCTGAAAGGAAACCTGGATGCTTGTGGATGCCTCTGGTGGACAGAGAGGTGGTTTTCCATTTTGAAACCCAATCTTTTGATGCTTCCACACTGGAAATCTATTTCTCTTTTTWAAAAATCTAGTTTTTAATAAAGGAAGAAATGGAGCCAGGGAGGCCTGGCTAATGCTGAGAAGCATGAATGGGTTGGGGATATGCACAGTTTGGAGGAATGAGAAGGAATAAGAAGTTGCCATGACGCTTGGGAGTCTTCAGGGGTGAAAAAGGCAACAGAAAGGGGTTTATAGTAACCTTTGGACTATCAGACACTGAGGACCGGCAATGCCAGGGCTGGCTTTCCTTCTCTTAGCTCCACACATGGCAAGTAAGATGGAAAGAGGAATTGTGGAGAAAGCTCAGCCCAGCCCAGGGGAGGGAGCCTGAGGAGCTTCCCCCGGGGACCCTCCCTGCAGGCTGCACAGCTTCTGCCCAGCAGGTGCTGCCTGAGACCTAGATCCTGCCAAGACCCTGTGAAAACAGTGTGCAACACGTGCAGACATGATGTGACGTCCCACTATGTGGGGGTGCATGCAGAGGGAACACATCCAAACTCTGGGTAGGGACTCCTACAGAGGACTGAGGAGGCTACATGATGATACATGTGGTCCTTGGAGACACAACCAGGTAAGAGCTTTCTGCAAATCAGGAGGAGGACTGGGGTCCTGCGTGAGGCTCCGTGGAGGTGCCCAAGCACACCACATGGGAGTGAGATGCAGGCGAGGTACGACAAGGCAGGGACCCTAAGCCAAGTGGCCATCTATGTGGTTGTAGAAATGGTTTCTCTGGCTTCATGAAAGGGCTTTACTGCTAAAAATAGGTTTCAGGGATTACAGACTCATGTTCCTCACTTCTAAACATCTACTCAAAGTCTTTGGAAAGATGATCTTGGTGTTCGGCTTTGGTTAAAACGTTAAGATGGTGGATTGGAAGCTGCTTTCTGGGGTAGAGAAGGGGATGCTGTCCTGGCACCAGTCTGAGCTATAGAGCTGCTCTGTAATGCCTTCCCAGGGAAGATGATCCCAGGGTCTCAGTGTGCAGAGATGCCCTTCATTCCACAGCTTCTCAGATATTTTGGGTTTTCTTTCCTCAGGAGAGGGAACATTGCTTCAGGTGTTTGAGGCTCAATGAAGACTTTCAAAAGCTGCAAGCTCAGTGTTCATCCCGAGAGCTTTGCACAGAGGGCCATGATGTGGTATGGGAAGAGGAAGACAATGTGCGTCAGTAAATACATGCTAACTGACCAGCCTCAAGGCCAAGGCTGGGGCTGCTGACATCACAACCCATGCCCACACTCACCTCCGGGCATGACGAGCCCAACGTCCTGCACTGTGAGCACAGACAGCTTCTCCTCTGAGTCCACCCGGATGACACCGTAGGTCAGCCCATGCATGGAGAGCACGCCCCGGCCCGGAGGCTGGTTGCTGTCATCTGTGGGCCTGAAAGCACAGGTCCATCTCAGTGTGCGTCAGCAGATCCACCCTTCTGTTTAGAGACATGCATGTCCTGGTGCACACACAGATGGGCAGCCACCTGTGGACGGGAAGCCCTCCTGGAGGCAGAGCTGGCTACTGGAGACACCTCTGACCAGGAGCGCCTGCCTGCTGCTGTGCACGGTGATTCTACCTCTCAGTTCCTTGGTGTTTTACCACCTGCCTCAGAAACACAAAGATGGCTCCTGATTTCCTGTCCTGACTTGGGCACAAACACCACAGTGGACGGAGCCATTCCCACTTCTAGGCCAGGCCTGCTCTCCACTCTTACCAATGGCTAAAGGAGTGAGCACCACTCCCAGGAAGCACATCAGTGAACCACACAGGGGTGATCCTGACTCTCCYGCCTCAGGGCGGGTGCAGACTGTTCAGGCGTCTGCTCAACTTTACAAAGAAGCTAAAATGAGATAATGCCATGCCATCCCGGCTGCCAAGTTCTAAGGAAGACTGTCTAAATGACAAACATGTTATACAATACCTCGTGGGGCAAGGTCTGGGGCTGAGAGTTCTGAAAAGATGAGCACATTCTCCATCGCCTCCCCTGGGCCCACCGGCTGCTGTGCAGTAGCTGTCCYCCACTGTCCCCACACCACGGGGCTTTTGCCCAGAATCCTGCCTCCACCCAGGGATACTCTTCCCACCAACATCCACAGGACCCTGTCCCCAGAGGTTGGAGGCACTTCTCAATTACCCCATAAAAATATCTAGTCCCCGTGTTTTGCACAGCAGGGGCCATCTGTGGAGTAGCCTCCTCCCTCAGAGCCTGACCCTCCTGAGAGTGGGCATTGTTGGGTGTTCAGGCTGTATCCCATCCCTGAAATAGTACCTAGCAATTAACTGCTGACTGAACTAGTGAACAAACACATTATGAATTTTTACTTCTAATAAAAGATTCAATGTATAGCTAAGTGAGGCCACAATTTGGGTAAACAGCACATTTGTTTCCATAATTTTTCCACACACAAGTCTTTAATGTTTAAGGTTTCAAAGTGGACTATAAATGCGAGTTTGTGTTTTAACATTAAAATAGTGCAAAGATTTATAATGAACCTACACACAAAAAATGGGCAACATTAGAGTTAAGATTTGAAAAAGGAATCTCATTTGAATCAWGTAAGTGGTGTATCTGAAAACATAATTATTCTACCCTAAGAATTAAAGTAGAACCATATATAAACTCTGCCTAAATGATAAAAAACCACACGAAACAAAACAAATAGCTCAAAACATGGGAAAGTATATCATCCTCCTGACCTCTTGGAATGAACAACAAAGGAGTTCTCACAGATCTACTACCATCTCCTCCCTCCACTATGGTCCACTACAAAGATTAAATGTCAAAGCCAGAAATTACAAGCCCCCAGGCCTGCTGTGTGCTCAACTGCTTCTCCACAAAAGAGAGCCCCTGGCATCTATGACGTGATCTTGTTCAGAAACTGTCTGTTCAGATACAGTCAAGTCAAGGTGAGGCCCCACTGGCTTACAGTGGACCAGATCCAGGGCTTGGCATCCTGAGAAGAGAGGCAGACRTGGAGAGAGGAGGGAAAGGCCTCTAGGTAGAGAAACGCCCAGGGCTGCTGGCAGCCTTCAGCAGCTGGAGGAAGGCCAGGAGCAGATTCCCACTTAGCCTCTGAAGGAGGAGTCCTGTGGACACCTCAAGTTTGAACTTCAGTCTCCAAGACAAAGGAGTAAGTTTCCATTGTTTAAAGCCAGCCACTGTGTGGATCTTTGTTATGAAGGCCCTAAGAAACTAATGTGCTCTCCTAATAACTGATAAAGACATACTTAAGAGCCACACACAAAAAAAATCCTGAACGAGCCATGACCATCTCAAGGACGGGAAGATTCAAAACATGGGTACGTGGGGGACAGGAAGGTCCCAAACCAGAAGCCAGGAGGACAACATTCTTCTAAGATTTAATAATGTGTCATTTGTTGTCTTGGTTACAAGATCCTCTTTCTACATTTTGTAATAGTCGAGAAGCAAGACCTGTAATTAAATATCTTAAGATTATAAACTATTTACTATAGGAAATTTTCTATTAYATTTACAAAATGGTAGTTATGAGAATAAAGTCACATATGATGTAAATGAATGACACTAACCTTGCATTAATTTAATCTACCAACTTACATTTGTATTTAGGAGTTTTTTGCTAGTTAGAGAAAACTCAAACCCTAGGGTTCTTTTCCTTGTAGATTTGCAAAATACATGAAAGAGGGGCACGTCGATCCCTGGACGTGGTAAACAGCCTCATTAYCTCCTCAGGCCACCCCAAAGTTGTCTGAATTCCTGGATTTGCCTGAGAGACCTGGCTTTGGCTGTAGGACTCCTCCTCCCCAATGACAAAGCTTGGGATTCACCTGCCACAACTGTTCTGACCTTTTACATGTGTGGACTTATTTAAATCTAACCAAACAAGAGGTACTCTTGTTTATTTTCAGATTAAAAACTTGAAGCACAGAACACAGAGATATCATTTTAGTTGCCCAAATAAATGTTGGGGCTCGGTGGGACCCAGACCCAGAGCAGAGCCTATGCCTAGACCTGAACACTTCCTGCTCCTTCCTGGACATTTTCCCTGCCCACAACCCAGCACACGGGCCACACTGGTCCACTACAGTTTCTTAATGAAAAATTAAGAGCATACTGTTATGATGAACAAGGCTAACATTACAGCAAAAAAGGCAAAGTCCCTGTTCATGCTCCGCCTGCCKGCCCTCCAAGGCTGCACCCTGCCTCATCACCCATCGACACCTTCATTACAAAGGAACAGACTAACACACAGTTACAGGAAAATGATGTCCACTATACATACATTTCCAAAGAAAGACAGGATCAAAACACGTTTATTCTTCTACAACGTGCTGTTTGCAAATACACCTGCAGTTTTTTTCACGTCTGTGCACACATATGTACACGTAGGGCATGTGCACCTTCCAATGAGCTAACCTTACGGTATTCAGTAATATGAATATTATGACCATTTGTTTCATTTTGTTTAATTTTTATAGAGAAGGAAATATTTCTGGAAGACACATCTAGAAAAATAGAAGAATCAGAGTTACACATTTTAAGAAAACCTAAAGGGCTTCCAAAAAGAATATGCCACTTTGCCTTCCCACCAACGGAATACAACTATGTCTTTCGTTTATTAGATATGTACACAGCACTGGCTGTATGCTGCTTTAAGTACTTTAAAGAGATCTTCATGGCAACGCCCCACAGAGGTAAGGACAGGTTCTGTGCTATCCAAGGCCATAGCTCTGGGACAGAAGCAGGTCAACCCCAGGTGGGTAAAGAAACTGCTTCTAACACGGCACCCAGCTGCCCCTCAGAAATACCAGCTTCTGTACTCTTGCCGAAATTTCCCCCAATCTGGTGAGTAAAAGGTAATTTCTCCTTGTTGTTCCTGTCTGTGTACTCTCAATTATGAACAGACTTAGACTGACTTGTTGCAGTTTTCCTAAGAAATAACTCCAGGATAAACTAGGCAGAATGAAAAAAATCCCAATGAGCAGAATCCACAGGGACTGAGGAACAGTGACAATAGTAATCAACAGGATCAAATTAATCAACAATAATCAATAACAGTAAATACTGATCAATAACAGTAATTAAATAATGGATAATAAAGATAGATTYGTCAACATCCAGACGAGGTGCCAAGATGAAGCGCAGCACTCGTGAGCACGCAGCACTGTCTCTCTCACAAAGAATACAAATTACAAGAATCCTCTACGCAGTAAATTCCAGGAACACAAGGAGGCAGTTTCCACACTTAAAGATACGAAGGAGGGAAAACAGATTTGTATACAATGCTGCCTTGATATGAAAAATAGAGATGAAAAGAAACTGAAATTAAAACAGAAAGGAGCATGGTTCAGCCTATGAGCAATGTTGGCTCAGCCAAGTAGCTGAGACCCAACAGTGTGCACCAGTTCAAAAACCCAACAACAAAACCTTACCACCACATAACATGGCCAACCTCTGTAAAACATGAGAAGCATTTAGCTAATYTTGCTGTGTTCACACCTGAAGAGCAAGCTACTATAAATTTCAAGGAATACACCTGCAGTTTGCTATTCCTGACAGCAAGYGGAGCCTAGCTGGGCCTTAACACAAAATAGATGGAGTCAAGTCATGAGCAAGCAGTTGTCCTGAATCCCAACACCCAGGTTAAACAGCACTGAAACCGCACTGGTGAGGCCTCCCCAGTTGGTCATTCATGGAATCCTTTTCCAAGTGGAAAACAAAGGTCTTTCATTTCTCCCGTCTTGTGTAGGTGATCTCTAATTCGGTCATTCTCAGCTTAGAAACAATGGTATATTTGGAGAGCAAGATGGGTAACTAACTGCACATAAACTAGGCCATTATAAAATATCCACACAGTAACTAACGCTGGCAGTAGCAACAGCAGCTAGCATTTGAAATCTTACCAAGCACCCAACCTACTTCCAAGCCCCTGATGTAGAGGAGTCCACGCAATGCTCACACAGGCCTGGGACAGGGAAAGGCTTTGATCCTCATTTCACAGATATAGAATCCAAATCCTGAAGGTCGCACACAGCAAGTGCCAAAAGCCAGCATTCGAAGAGCCAGACGGGAGCCCAGGCCAACAGCTTCCAACATGATCCAGGCTGATCAGGAGACAAAAGCAGCAGGGATGGCCCCCTCCCTGGAACTGAGGGTCTTCCCACAGATACGTTCCACATGCTGGCATCAAAGTAGCTCACTGAACACTGCTTCCCTGGGAAGACACCTGGACTCCACAAGAACATATCACTGGAGACCCACAGGGCAGTTGATTGGCAGGCGGGGTCTTCCATTCTTACCCTGAGGCCAGAGCCTTGAAGGAGGCTTTTTCTCTCTGTGGTACTAAGATTAAACCCAGGGGTGCTGTATCACGAAGCCACAYCCCAAACTTTTACTTTTTGGGGACAGG